GAAGAAAAAAAAGACTGATAAATATGTTGAGAATAAGACTTCTGTGCAGGGATGTGCGTGTGTGTGTGTGTGTATGTATTTATATAAATATATTTAAAGAGGTAAACAGCTTTATAGCATCATAAAACTGTATTAAATGGCAGGAGCATAACAACAGAAGGCTGTATCTTACATTTACAAATAAACCTGGTAGAAGTGAAGCCGAGTTAGTACCGTAGTTCAAAAAATTGCTGGAATATTTTCAGCAAAATAGCTGGAGAGTTTCTGGAAAATCTTTTTATTTTTTTTTAACCTTCATGAAGATAAAATAATGAGAAACTACTGAACAAAAAAAACAGTGAGATTCTATGGACCAAGACCCTTAAGAGAAGATGACTCAAGAGTAACAAAAAACTTTCAGACATTAATTTGTGACTGTACCGCACCAATGATGCCAATTTCAGATGTGTTTGTTAAACTGCTGCCAGTAATCACTAAGGAATTACAGAAAATGGGAAAGAGTGTAGTGTCAGCCGGGGTTCATGGCAGGAGACAGAAACATTTTAAGTAGGCAGAGATTTAATGTGGTAAATCAGGTGCTCGTGAAATCATTGCAAGGCCTGGAGTGGCGATCTCCAGCCTGGGCTTCCCGGAATGACTCCCAGACACTAGAGGCTGAAACAGCAGGGAAGTTTCTGCCTCTGAGAGCATCCTACAGCCATCGAGTTTTCAGAACATGATTATAACTGAGATTCGGGAATCACGGAGCTGGAGCTGTGCGCTCATGACTGCTGCCCTCACTCCTCCTTCACGCTGGTGACTGGGCACTGGGACCTGGCGTCCTCTGCTGCCTGTACTTTAGCTCCTTTCACCCAGGATTCCGCAGAATGACATGAATCATTGCCTCAGAAGAAAATCTCACCTCTCCATGAGACCTTGCTTGCCAACCAAGAAATGTTAGAAGAGGACAACCCTCACTTTTGACTTACAAATCGCTCACAGTTGCACCTGCGTGGCAGGACCTTATTGTAATTCCAAGCGTTAGCTGTGAAAGCATCTGGGAATTAATTATACATTTAACTCTTAAGTCCCTTTCATGCAGGAAGGCGTGATACAAGGGGTCAAATGGAAATTTCAGGGAGCCAAACCATAGTATTTCACACAGCTGTAGACGACAAATATTCTTATTCCTTCAGAGGGAAGAAAGAGGTCCTAAGAGACACCTGCTGAACTTGACATTGATCTTAGTATTGGTTAGAAAAGATACCCTGTGTGTCATTAGGAAAGGATGCAGCGATCACTGGGAATGGGGGGGGGGTTCATTAAAAACAAATCATACTGGGTAGCTTATTATAAGTGGTAAGTAATACAACTGTATGGCTATAATACATCTCGATTTCAACATGGTTTTTGCTCCAAACTTTTATATCATGGGACAAACAAGGTAGTGGTACAGTTGAATGGATTTGTACTGAGTAGACAGATTTAAAAATGCCAATTAGTAGACATATGTCCAATTATAACACATGCTGTAGAAACTTATACTTTATCTTGCCCTGTATTACACCAGGACTCCAGAAAGGACATTGATTTTAAAACTAGCAATAGTCTGGGCCAGCTGAGTAGCTCAGTTGGTTAAGAGCTCGCGCAAGAGTTTGAGCTCTGAGCAACAGCGGTTCGAGTCCCAGCCCGAGCTGAGTAGCCGCTGAACTGCCAACAGATGGCAGGATGGCTCAGCTAAAATTAAAAAAAAAACAACAGAAAACAAAAAAAAACTAGCAATAGTCTATATTTATTGAGTGCACCTGAGTGCAGACTCTAGGTGTGGCCCTATAGATACATTACTACCTTGTTTATTCCTTGTAACAGTCTTTTATTATCTCTATGACAAACATGAGGAAACTGATGCCAGAAAGTGCAAATGGCTTGCTCATAGCTCCACAGTTGTAGTAAGCAGCAATGCTGAGAATCATACCTAAAAGCGCTTCTAGGAAGAGGTACCAGAGGGAGGAAGATGCCATAACATTTCTAGGGGAATCTGGCTAGCGGTGTACCTGCCAAGAAAGCCAGGGGATGGCATTTTCTCAGTTATTCCAATTGAAGTCGAAGGCTGGCCCACTGCCTGCAGGATCTGGTCAGTATCTCAGGGACTCGAACTCACATTGACACGCTTCACTAAAGACTCCCATGTAAAACCAGATGCCAGTTTATTAAATTATGAGAAATGTAACAGTCAAACGGACCACATATGGGCAGTTTTCTTCATGCACCATTTAAAGGAGAGTCTGATGAGCAGAATGCTGACTGCAGAGGATGAATCAGCGAAGACGCTGATCAGACTGCTAACTGGTTGCAGTCTCTGCTAGTCATCACGAGGCGGGATCATCCGCTGGCCGACTGCGTCTCTGGACTCACCTACCTGCGAGGGCACATTCTTATTTGGCCAGGCAGAGCCCAAATGTACCTCTGACTCCTTTAGACATGGCCGATGGCTATTCTTTCTTTAGATATTTTAATGATTTCACCTAAGTTGTTTTGGATTACAATGTAGTCTTTCCTTTTTAGGCGACTGTTCTGAACAGTTTCCTGCTGATACAATTTATTACCTTTAGAAAGCAAGTTTAATTTCTGTATTTAATTTCCAAATCTGTTGTCCTTGTACACTGCATATATGATGCAGGTCCCTCTGACTCTTTTCATGACCTGTGCTGCCACTGGTAGGTTCACGAGAGCCAACAAGAAAAGAAGCACCAGTGCTGACATACAGAGTTTAATAGCAGCACACATTTTTTTTTTTAAAAGACACCATTTGTATTTCACACAGGCTCACTGTGTGTGATGTATAATAGCTATCCAAGAAGCCAGGCTAGACTTACCTGTATTAACTGTCAACATAACGAATGGGCAAGTGAATGAATGAATGAAGGGGTTGACGGCCCTACCCTAATCTTCACTGACACTTCACGCCTAGAGCAGCAATGTTTATTTAGTGCAGGGTCCACCTTTTCAGAGGATATTTGACAGAATGGAATATATTTAGAGGAAACTGACCAGATGGTGATGGGCCTTGAAAACACATTCTGACAAATGGTGGTAGGACACTAGTGACAGTTAGCTTAAAAAAGAAAAGACTTAGAGGAAAGACAAGAAAAGCTAAGAGTTATTGAGTGTATTAGAGTAGGCCAGGAATTGTGTTTCATTTTTTAATGGATTTTGAACATTATGGGTGTATCATAATTAAAAAGGAATACTTTATTTTGAGTTGCCCTGGAAGAGAGGGCTGACAGTAACCAACAGAAGCCATAGAGAGACACCTGTGCTCATTGAATGATGACATTCTTAACTCTCAAAGCTGTCCAACCACAGGAAGAGCTACCCTTCGTGTTATAGGTTCCCTATTCTTGGGGATACCCAAGCAGAGACTGGTCTTGCTTTTGATGGAGATATTTTGGAGAGGAGTAAGTACTATGTGGAGGCATGGATCAGATGAACTCTAAGACTTTGCCCAACCTCATCCTGTGAATGCATCATTATTTTACAACACAGGAATCCCTTTTGTTTTTCTTTTGGTTTAGTGGCATGAGTCCTAAATGATTAATGTCACTTCCAATTCAATAGATCAATTGTTGGGGACACTAGCTGCTGTTTCATTCAATCCAGCACAACCCAGAGTTGCAGGGATGGGGAAAAGCTTTTTGTGAGTGGGTCATTAGGTATAATAGTAATAGTAAGAACAGACTCATTTCCTCATTTGATCCCAGACCCATGTATTCTGTGTATGGGAGAAACAGTACCATATATTGATTCCTTTTTCAAACCATGTCACATTATCATTCTCAAATAGTTTGAAAGCTTCAAATGGTAGTAACATTTATTTCTGTTTTTGTATTTAAATGCAGCTCTTTATGCTTCTGCAGTTCCCTCTGATTGCATTTTCTAATTTGATCTTTGTTATTTTTAGTGAGTGAACCTTGAGTATCAACCAACCTGCGCTTTCTTTCATGGCAATTAACATCACACCTTAAAAACTCGTTCCTGTGAATGGGGAAAAAGAATATCCAGTTAAAATGACAAAAGAAAGATGCAATTTTATAGCTAGAGAAAACCTACATATCACATATTAATAGATGAGAAATTCAAGCCCAAGGAGATGAAATGACGTGCCACCATCACATCGCTTAGCTAGTGGGGAAACTGAGCACTTCTCCTTCTTTTGTCCCCACTCACTGATGCAATTATATGCTGTATTCTTTTCAAGATAATCTTTTTCTTCTTTTCTTTTCTTTTGTTTTTTTTATTTCCTAGCACGTAGAATTTTTTTAAAGGACTTTTATTTGGGAATTGGTGAGGGAAACAGTGTTGGGGAATTGGGAAGGGGAATATTGTGTTTTTCCAGGACCCATCAGCTCCAAGTCAAGTTGTTGTCTTTCAGTCTTAGTTGTGGAAGGTACAAGCTCAGCTCTAAATCCAGTCGCCGCTTTCAATCTAGTTGTGGGGTTCTGGGGTTGGGGGGGATTAGAATAGGGTGCAACATAGTCGACTATCCCATGTGGGAGTCTAACTGGCAACCTTGTTGCACACTGAGCCAACTGGCCGCCTGTTGGCAGCTTGCGGCTGCTCAGCTCAAGATGCCATATTCAATTTTAGTTGTGGGGGGAACAGCCCACCATTCCATGTGGGAGACCAGCCGGCAACCTTGTTTTTAAGAGCATGGGCTCTCACTAGCTCAGCGGCAGCTGAGCTCAGGCACAGCTCACTGGCCCATGTGGGAATCGAACTGGCGATCCTGTTGCTCAGAGCTTGCACTCTTAACCAACTGAGCAACTCGGCCGGCCCATAGAATATTTTTATAGTGGTCATTTTTATATCTATTTTTACAGCCTGATTGACGTTACCCGAGGAGAAGGTATCTGAGTAGGATTCCAAAGTAATAGTTTTTTAAAGCATATCCTTAGTTCTGTAGGCAGAAATTCTAAGGAAAACTTTGTTTGTAACTCTGGATTTCTCTTGGATCTCTGCAGTGCTGCATATGATGCTGTCCTTGATAGAAATGTGGCCATTAAGAAGCTCAGCAGACCGTTTCAGAACCAAACACACGCCAAGAGAGCTTACCGGGAACTGGTCCTCATGAAGTGTGTGAACCATAAAAATGTGAGTTTTTATTTTTAAACCTCTGGCAGTGGGAGGTTGTGAGATCAGGGAAAGAAAATCAGTATGCCAACTTGAGTAGGAAAGGCTTTCTTTACTTTGCAATTTCTGTCTCTTAAGGTTGTTTATCCTGCCCATATGCTACATTTAATTTCATTGTCCTCATGGTAGCTTTCCGCTTAAAAATCATCTACAAACCATATGGCGTGGAGGGGATGAATTTTATAGGTATTTCCCTGTTATGAAATTAACCATATTTGGTTATTTTGCTGCAAATTAACCAGAGAGCTTCAAGCTTTTCCAAAATTAAAACAAAACCAATAACCAAGACTCTCCTGCAAAACAATATGCTGCATTTCTTTTCAATTCAAACTTGATTATGAACAGGTGAAGGTTTTTATCTCCTTTTTCTTTTAGCTATAGTCTGGCAATGGCCTCAAATTGTTCAGTGTACACACTGTGCTTTGGCACCTTGTTTTTAGTAGGGTTGGGAAACTGTGCAGGGACATATCTGCTAAGCACTTCAGAACAGAATCAACAAGAACATTTCTCATTGGGACTCAGTAGGGTACATTATTACAGGATGTTCTTCTCTTCAGAGCATAAGCTTCTTTAACCATAGGCAAAGGCCTCTAGAATTCTTTCTCTGCTCCCGCTCTTCTTAGTAAGAGTAAATGAAAGATAATTCATTATTTCAATGACTATTGTTTATTAATAAATTATAATAAACATAGTACATAGAATTTATTGCATACAAATGTACAATAAAATAAGTTATACATTATTATAATAAAACTATAAAAACAATAGCTATGGTAATCCCCTATGGGGTTTTTCTAAAGTATGAAAATCACACAAAATATATGAAATTATCAGTGTAGTTTTATAAAGAAGTGAATTTTTCTATCAATCACACTAAGAAAAAGCGAATGTATGAATGTTCAGTTGAAAGATATTTGACATGCAAATATGTGGATTCAGGCCCAATGACAGTGCTTCTGTTTGCCTCTATTACTCTACTCCAATGATGTTTTAGTTCAGTCATTTGACAAATATTTATTGAATGAATAAAATGTGTCTGGTATGGGTCTGGGTGATGTAGATGCTAAGACTATAGCAGTGAAGATAAGAAACAGATTCCTGCCCACGCAGAGCTCATGTTGTACTGGTAGAGAAAGGCAGCCTACAAAACTGATGGGTAAATGTATGGAGTGTTCGACAAGTGCTATCAGGGAAAACAAAATGAGGAACATAAATTCTGGTCCATGTCAGTGGGGTAGGTTTCCTCTCTTAAATAGGTTAACCAAGAAAGGAAAATTTTATGAAGTATGTACCTTTCTTTAATTTGGACATGCAAGGAACATGATATTTCTAAAAAGGAGTATACAAATGATGAAAAGGATAATTCCTAAGAAAAGTCATTCTACTAAAGCAATTTGTTCTTTCAGTATGTTAAATAAAGGCAGGAGCAAGATTAACCACATGACCAATGCAATCTATTTTTATGATGGCAAAGAGGTTGAGAAATACCGTGGGCAATGGGGGATGGATGGATATGGGCAATGAAGCAACCGTATGGAAAGTTTTGATATTACAGTTTGTGTTGTCATATGTTTATATTCCCTTAATCCTCCTTCCAGCCCTTATAATGCAATAAATACATTGTGAAGAAATTTCCACTTAATTTGAGGGAATCCTACCCCATGTTCTTGATGGGGCAGTTCACATTGATGTGAAATATGGAGGTTCACATTTACGATACCTAGAAAAGGAGTTCCAAATTGAAATGATAATTTATTAATAGCATCCTACCTGCTGCCCGCTTGTGTTTGTGTTTGTATGCATGTATGTGCATAAGTTCACTGAACTATATTTCTGGAACTTGTTAACAGAAAAGAAGTTTACTTACAACCAAATGTAAATTTCACTCTAGTACTTGTAATATTAGCTAAAAGCAGTAAGAATGTAGAATTCTGTTAATGCTGTGGAAAGCAACACAGTGAAGTAATCCCAAATAAGTCTTTAATAATAGAGAAGAAAATCCATTTAGAAAATGAATACTTAATTCTAGGAACTGATTGTGGGGCCATGACAAACATTGATTCACATCTGTGCATTTTAAGATCCTGGAATAAAGAAACTCAATCAGATTCCTGCTTGGAAACTGTTCCCATAAAATGGAAATACCTGTGATGATCTATTTCTGAAGACAAGATTTTTAATTGCTTATTAGTAGGAATTAGAATTTATAAGGAAGCAAATAAAGAACAGAGGAGAAATCTCAAAGGGAAATCAAAGAAGATGAAGGTGATTTAAACATAAAAGTATAGGAAAAGTGAAAATAAGAATGCATAGTGGGGAACTTATCTTTTAAAATAATACATCTTGATTTATTTAAAATTGCAATGCTATTTTCTAGATTAATTTAGATTACCTAGATTATTTATTCACCAGGTGATATGAGTTCGCATTTTTCCATCTTTAAGGGTTATATGTGTGTTGTATGTGCACATGTCCTATGCATGGTCTCTGATGTTTTTCTTTGAACAAATATCAACAATGAATTACTTTCCAAGACTGATAAAATACTAGAAAAACAGACCCACTATGTATGTTTCAATGAGAGATGTGCCACATAGGCATTTTTCAACACACACTATAATTAAGCATACAGGGTAACAAGGTACTTTAATCACAAATTTTAAAGAATGTTTGAAACAATTTTATTTCTATGTGCATATTCCATACTGCAAGTTTGCTATAGAAGAGATGATCTTGGGTTTTTTTTGGATATGTTATAACCATTGCCATATATATATATATATATATATATATATATATATATATATATATATATATATATATATTACATATATATGAAAATATTGGACATTATTATGACTTTTTTCTTAATAATTCCTCAACAAGTGAAAACTACCCAAGGCCTAAAAGTATTCCTTACAATTGACTATATTTCTCAGGTGTTTAAAATAATTTTGTTTTATTTTTATTACTTCATATGTTTCAGTACCACTTATGAAGTTTACTGAAATTCATTAATTCATGTTTCAAAGATGTATAAATATTAAACTTGTACTTATTCAATTTTTATGAAATAGTTACATCTATCCTGTGAGTAGAAGATTGTTATCTATATTTTTTATTTTTATTTCCCACTAGCACATTAGTACAGAATATGAAGCTGCAAGAACATTTTGAGTTATTTATGTAAGCAATTTATTTGGAAATGTGACAAAAGGTTTTTTTTGAAATTTACTTATGCTATAAGGTAAACTTCTGTACTATCTAATATATAAAATAAAGCAGGAAACAAGTTTAAGAAATAGAATATTAATACCTCTTTTACATTTTTCACTAAATTCATCATTGATATCATCCAAGATATACCTTTCCTTACACATGCAATTGGAACATTAGCTTAAATAATTTGAGTGGGAAATAGAAAAAAACAAAACTAAAGTAACAACACAGAAAATATCTTGAATTATAGTTTTACCTTGATTAGAGCACCAACTTGAATTAGAATACTACCTTGCGTATTTGGAGGAAAAATATGGGCTTACTAAGTCTTGTTGGGTGTTTCATTGCTGCCTCACTTTCCTCCTTTTTAAAATTACATTCAGCTCTATATTCTACCAAAGAGAACCATACTCTAAAGCAATATCACAATTATATATGTCCTCTGACTCTTTTACCTAAGAATTTGAGCTTTTTAATTACATTTTACCCTAAAGACACAATGTATGTCCTTTTTGAGTACGTTTTTCTATATTCTGTGAGACAGTTCTAGACATTTTTTTCCAACTTTCCTATTTCCACACAAGTGTGTGACTTTGAGTTGGAAAAAAAAAAAAGCTCTGGTTTAAAGATGCTTTTAAATAATTCATTCTTTTTCTTCCTCTCCTTCCTCTGTCTCTTCCACTGTCTCTTTTCCAGATTATTAGTTTATTAAATGTCTTCACACCCCAGAAAACGCTGGAGGAATTCCAAGATGTGTAAGTAACAAAACTCATAAAAGAAGGGAGAGAAGAGCTCTCAAATAACTCAAGGGAAATTGACAAAAGTCAAATAGATGAAACGCCATGTGGAACTCAAAGGGAGCTGGCGGGAAATGAAAAGGATCCAGCAATAGGACACAAGGTTCTGTGTCTGCTGTTACTTCCTGGAAAGACACTTCTGCTTCTTTCTGCTTTTCTGGCTCTTTGTACTTTGTTGTTCCATGTTCTTTGTTCAGTCAGGGGAGGCTTATTATTTATTATGTATTTATTATTATTAATTGATTCCGTAATCTTTCTAGAATGAGTAAATTTACTTTGAAAATTATACGAGATACATGATAAAAATTATCTTTAATCTGTATCTCTATTTTTGTGGTGCCTTTGATTTTGTGTAAAAAAAGTAATCTACTTAGAAGTATAGTAGCAATAAGGACAGGAGAAGAAGTGAATCCTGGCACAGATGCATTGCATGTTTAACGCAGATGCATTTTTTAATTTAACACAGACATACTGTATTTAATGGAAGAGGCTATTCTGAAAAAAATAAAAATTCTTTTCTGTAATCATAATACTCGGGACAGAGTTCAGGAAATTCAGGGGAAAGTGAGAACAAGAGGAAAGTAGAAAAATATATGGGCAGGAGGCACACATTAATCAATGCTTCTTCTGTTAGCAACCTTAGAGTTATCATGGCTAACAGCTAACATGCAAAACTTGGACATTTTTCACATTCTTAATTCAGTCAAATGTAGAGCTGAGAAGTTCAGAAGACTACAGATTTAGGAGAGGATTCTGACTTGTTTGAAGGACTTCACAGGTCTTGTAATCTGGAACTAAATTGTGGATTTACTTTCCAGTTATTTAGTAATGGAACTGATGGATGCCAACTTGTGTCAGGTGATTCAGATGGAGTTAGACCATGAGCGAATGTCTTACCTTCTATACCAAATGTTGTGTGGCATCAAGCACCTTCACTCTGCTGGAATTATTCACAGGGTAAGAACCCCTACTCCAGAATTATAATTAAGATGCTTTTGGAGAAATGAAAACAACTGCGGATGATTTTCTTAATGCAGTGGGCTTGGTTAAATATACCGTTCCTCCTAATTCCTTTTATGTTTGAATTAGCACATAGTTCACTAATATATAGAAGGAAACTTTAGCTATACTGTAGTTGATTTTATCATTTTGTTTCAGCACTTTGAGAATCAGCTTCTGAGAAGCTTCATGTTTTCTAGCCCCTTGATTGGCAGAGGTCATTTGTGCAATTGAAATAAGACAGTTCATTTACACGGTTTGTTTCTGACAGCATAAAAACAGCTGCCCTGGTCTGCTCTTCTGTCAGGCCTAGAAATGAAATATAAGATGAAAGGTTTATGTTGCCAAAAAGAGAAAGCTAACAGATGATGATAAATGATATGTGTTTTTTCTAAAATCTTTTCCCAAGATGAGACTACATTGTAAAAATTATAGTATAGTTCTCTTCTGCATTTTAAAAAAAAATTCTGAGGATATTTTTTAAAAATCTGAAAAATAATTGTAAATTCTTTTAGGGCAGTAATCATTTGCTTTATGTAGGGCTCTGCAGTGAGGGGGGTCCCATCAGTGCTATTGGAAGACTGCCATGTTGATTGAGTAGATGGAAATTGCAAGTTCCATATGATGCTGGCTTTTAATTTCTTCTGTTTCTATTCTCAGGATTTAAAACCAAGTAACATTGTAGTCAAGTCTGATTGTACATTGAAAATCCTCGACTTCGGACTGGCCAGGACGGCGGGCACAAGCTTCATGATGACTCCTTATGTGGTGACACGTTATTACAGAGCTCCCGAGGTCATCCTGGGAATGGGTTACAAGGAGAACGGTAGGGATGCTTCTGAGTAGCAGCCACAAAGACTGTGAAGAAAATAAGTACATGTTTCAGATAGCCAAGAGTAATGTTCTCTTTCACGTATATGAATATTATTTTTAAGCAGGACTGCCAGCTTTCATATTCAAAGGGTTGTTAAAAAAAACTACTAATAAGAATCACTCATTAAAAATGTTTCTGAGAAGTAAGCTTAGCTTGAAGAACACTAAAATGATATAGCTAAAAAGAATTGTAAATGGAGTCTGACTAAACAGTCAAGTGGATACTAATGAGCACACATGCTGTAGATACTAAGAAAAATCGCTATTTGGGTTGCAGCTCAGCTCAAATTGAGTATGAAAATGGGAAGAAATCTATCTATTGCATTTAACCATTTGGCTTTCTTTTATATATTAGAGCAATTGCTCTAGTCCTAGGAAAAGATAAACAAAATACACCACAAACCCTTGGAGTGAGAATCTTTACAAATTCTCAATGCATAGTCAATTTAGAATAATCCAAATGTTCAAGTTGGATAAGAGTTTCTTTAATACTTTAAACTTCTCTGTAAGTATAATATTTAAGGTAGCAATTGCCTAGTAGGTTTTTATAAATTCCAAAACTCACAGAGAGAAAAATATTTTATATTACTGCTTTCGTAAAGAAAATCTAGAATTCATGAGCACTTTAAAAGATGGAAAGAATTTTCAAAATGTATTCCAATTTGATTTTATTGATTCAAATGAAGGATTTATAAAATATCTTTATCAAATGAAGGTATTTTATATGCAATAATTTACATATTATTGCAATATATTATTTTGAAAAGAATATCTTCAACAAGTAATACAGCATATTAAAAACATATCAAATATATTTAGGAATTCAAGTAGTTTTAAAGTAGGACTGGGATTGTTATAGTTATTCAATATACCTTTCATACTTACTTTTATATTCTACTCTATTTAGTCCTAGTGGTCTGTTTTTATAAGTTCTATAAAAATAATTATCATTGTATTTTTATGTGTAGGTGCTACAGGGTACTTCTACGAAAATTTCCTGGCCACCAAAGTTTTAAAAAATTTCTTTGAGTACTTCCAGATTAGAAGAGAGGCAATGCTTTTGTGTATTTGTATAGCAGAAGGAAAAAAAGTCAGCTCTTAGGAAGGCCAGGTTCACTTTGATGGACAATGGCAGAATTCTGTTAACCTTTTGACTTGGAACAGGCAAATCTAGTCCTCTTCCCAAGGCAATACCACATCTAATGTTTTGGAAAAGAAGATGTTTGAATACATTCTTCACAAATTACTTTTTAAAAATCAAAGGGGAACCAATTCACAAGTTCAAGAAATCAAGGGTCTGCAAGGGTGTGCGGGGGTCTGACTTTGCCTATTACGGCTTTTCAGATCCTTGCTGCAAAAATGGTGCACAATCTCGTGCCTTTTCCTTTCCTCACAACAAAGGGTTGCACGTTGCTGCCTTAGTTTTCTGGCATCTCTAGATCTATAGAGAAGCCATACCAAGCACTCTTGTGCTATTGTCCCACTTAGGTATGGGAAGAAGGTTATCATGCAGAAAAACCCGCTTGCTCCAACTTCAGGCATGCCCGCTAACCTGTGCACCTAACCCTGCCTTCCTTCCCCTAGAAGCATTTCAGCTTAATGTTTTTGTCCAAAAGTCCCCTTTGTCCTACTAAAAAGCCAGTTGGAAGAGGGGAAAGATTGGTAAGAGAAGGTGCAGCATGTTTGGTTAACAAGTACAAATGACAACTGAGAAATAAATATATGTATTATATATAACACCTTTTTTTAACACCTTTAATAACTTTTTCCACTTTATTTCTAGATGACTATTTTATAACATGCTAATTAATCATATATGTTTTTCTTGAAATATTTCAAATTGAAATGAAAATTGATGTTTTTTTACAAGGATTACTTCTGAAGGAAAAACTAAGTCCTGAGTATTAGGGATTCCAATACTTCTCCCTTTAAACTATGGTTTCAGCCATTTCCTAGTTTCTTGGATTTGGTTGGAATGCCTTGGTTGCATGTACCGAAAAGTGAAAAACAGAAAATAAAAAATCATTCCGCTAGTCCACATAACTGAATAAGAAAAGAAAATGGAAACAGCCAGCCCTACGGGTAGATTAAGATACTTTTGGTTTAGGTGCTGCTTTTCCATGTCACCACTTGCTGGCACTAATGAGGCAATTCAAGGCACCCATAAAGTAATTTTTTAAAATTAATTTGAGTTCTCATACTAGAATAATCTTATAGTGCTGGTTTCAATTTACTTTTTTGGCCCATTTTTGGTAGGAAACAAAAATTGTACCTTCTAATCAAACTGTTCTTTTTCCTCCTCCTTCAGAAATTGATGATCTTAGTTAACTTGACTCTCCTCCCTTTTCTTCGCTTCCCTCTCTCCTGTTCTAGTGGATATATGGTCTGTGGGATGCATTATGGGAGAAATGGTTCGCCACAAAATCCTCTTTCCAGGAAGGGACTGTATCCTTGTACCTTTTGCTGCAGCTTTACCTGTTTTGTTCTCTGTCCCTTTAAACACATAATGATTTTACCAGGAGAGTAAAGATAGAAGCAAAAAGTTGGGTAAGTGGTATAATTTTTTTTTTAAGTGGTGATTTCTGTAATCTGACCAGTATTGAAGACTACTTACCACAATGATTTGTTTTAATTACATTTTAATGGGCTTTTTTCTTCTGAAATTATTTTGTCTATAATTCAAAGTATTATATGTTATTTTTCATAAATAAGAGAGGCCACCAAATCTCAAGTGATTCATACATATTTATTTTTATAACTAGAAAAATAAGTCACTATTTGCAAGTATTTTCCATCAGCTTTTTAAAAGTGTTTTATGCTTCCACAGCATTTAGGTATAATAATTTCTCTCCTGGCTGACATCCTAAGCTTTTGTCTACAGTTTCACTGATTTGAATTACTCTTGACACTATATCCAGTCTTAAGTAGGTCAATATAGCATTTTCTCCTTAAAACATGAGCCTCCACATTTAACAATCATAATTATTATTCAAATTGCCAGATGTCTGATGGGTTTCAAATAGGCTTCCCTCACTTGACTTGGAGATGTGAGTTAGACATAGATAATTGCCTTTTCAATGAAATTTAGAATTTTAAAAAGCAGTGTTGATTTGAGTTCTCCCACTGAGTCCTGTACTAGATTCCATCAGAAATTTCTGAGAGCGAGATCTATGATCTGGAATTATTAAATGAGCTGGTATATTTCTGAAATGACCAAAAGCTAACTTTCTAACCAAGGCACATATTTGTGATTATAATATATAGATAATAAAGTTTACATATTAACAGAGAATATGCTTTTATGAATACAGAACTACTCTGCTAATACACAATAGTGAAATCTCAATACTGCAACAATTGACAATTTTAACAGTGATAATGAAAGATTGAGTTTAGTGTATTTACTACATATATCTTTTTTTTGGAAATTGTCAATAAACATGTGGTCTACACCTCTATTAAAATATTATAGTTGATTAATAAGAAAGCTCTATTAAGGAACTCTTTTATTACATAAGAAATAGTATGACTGTTATTTAGTAGAAATAAAAGAAGAAGAAAAGTCCTATAGTAAAAGAAAATCTGACTCAATAGGAAGTCACTATCACAATGAACATACATTTATGTGGGCATTTATTAATTCTGCTGGATATTAATGAGATACTCTCTAAATTCCAGTAATAATGTAATAATAATGACATCTCTAGAACCATACTGCCCAGTAGGTAGCCACTAGCAATATGTGGCATTCAGCACTTGAAATTATGGCTAGTCTGAATTGAGATGTGTTATATGTATGTGTAAAATGCATACTAGATTTTGAAGATATAAAAAGAAAGCATGTAAAATATCTTGTTAATAATTTTTATATTGACTATGTATTGGAATGATAATATTTCATTATATTTTCATTTTACTTTATAGTAATTTTTATATTTTGAGGATTAATTATATATATTCAAATGAATTGATTTGAACACGGTTATAATTTATATTCATATTTAAATATACTGATTTCACACAAAAGTGGGAATTTTTTTGTGCTTTTGCCTTAAGGGTATAACACTTTTCAAAACCACCCTCCACCCCAGGAGGAACTACTCATTCAGTACTTAAAGTGAAGTCACACAGCCACATATCTATAACGCATTGCCAGTGAAAGACAAAAAGTCACGAAAGAACTCATTTCCATGTGGCATCGTTGTCACAGGTAGTTTGATCTGCGTAGCATAGTTCTCTGTGATTTAATTTAGCTCTTCAGATATTTATCAAGGTTGCTTTTCACCTATTTTAACAATATTACATTTAAGAGCCAATAAAATGAGGAAAAAACAAAACACGTTTCAACCTAAAATAACCTTTTGGAAAACCAAGCAAAGATTATAATACCATCTTAATAATTTTGCATTCTTTCAAAAACTGTTCTCTTGGAGATATTTTTTTCCTTTTATTCTAGTTGATATTTAGAAAAATATTTGTAACTGAAAGCAAATTGTGCAAAATCAAAACATAAAATATATACCCTTGATAAGTTTGATTCTATAAATTGAACAAATCATAATATAGAAAATGTATACAGTGATAAGGATTTGCATTTTGAATTCCTTTATCTCATGTGATGATTATATAGAATATCGGTTATGATAGCCTAGTGCCATTTATGATAATGAGCATAAATGAGGACCTAAAAAATAAACAGGGAAATTACATAAAGATATTTATAGTGGAAAACATCTTGCTTAAGTTAAATTCTACTTAAACATGGGTAAATAATTTCCAGATGAAATGAGTTAGAACTGCCATCTTATTGAAAATGTTGCAATTTGGATTTAAATCCTTAGTTCATTTTACCTATGAGTATAATTAAAATTGTATTTCAATGTCTTAAGTCATGGCCATATTTTGAAAATAAACTAAACCATAGAAATTCCTATTAAACAATGGATTCTGTTTTTTGAGTGGAATTGTTTCACTACCTATATATGAAATTATTACCGTTTTACGAGTAGAGTTTCTTACCAAGAATAGAGAGATCAGAGCACTGAACTAACTTCACTAAACCATGATGTTCAGACACAGGTTGAGGAGCTAATGGAGGTTATGTATGGGGAAAAGAAACATACCAATATGCTAGCATCTAAATGATTCCAGCATTTACTGGAAGTAATTTCAAAGTTCAGTATAAGCTAATTGATACCTTAACTACTTCCAAGATTCTTCAGAGGCTTAAAAAAAGTCATCTATTCTCTTACCTTTCACTTAAAATTATTCAGAGTAATCTATATGGAATTTCTCTGAGGCAAAAAAATGGTGTGATAATATTCTATCATAATCAACATTATTCCTCTTTCTCTGCATAACTTTTTCACGTTCTCTTTCTTAATCTGAACCTTAAGCAAAAATAGCAAAACACTTTGACAAATCGAGAAATCTTATGAAATTGTCACGGATGGCTAAAGTGTAAGCTACTTCCCCACATTAAAACTGTCTTTGCATTCGAAAAACCTGTGTAGGTTTCTTGGCTATTGAGATATGATCCAGGTGATATCACAGGGTAGTTTTTGAGTTAGTAAATGAGAGTATTGGCTAAATAAATAAATATACATATTTGCTTTTTCCATTCATTAGTTTGCTAATTTTTTAATATCCAAAGAAACATTTATAAAATATTTAATTTTATTATATAAAGAGTTTTTTTAAAATAATGCAAACATTCATTATTATACACTCAATTTCACTAGTGTAATGATTAATACCTATTTCATGGCATATTTGTTGACATATAGTATTGTTAAAAAGTCTTAGAGCCATCCATGCTGAATTCGAGTTAGAGAACAATAGATATATCAGGTCCATTTTTTTCTTTATATAACCCAAAGATCATATGACATATCAGTGACTCTACATTTCATTCAGATTTTTTTTAATACAAACTTACCATAAAGCAGTTTTACAATGGTTTTTTAGAAGGTTTGGGTTTTTTTGTTTGTTTGTTTGTTTTTTCTTTCTTTAGGACTATCTAGTCACTTACTCCCTTCACTCACTTCAAACTCCAACCAGGGCATGTGATATTCTTGATTACTGAATGCGCATATACTACCAGCATACTTTTCCTGAGTTCTTTCCTTAAACCTGCTTCTTTTAGATACATTTTTTTCTACTTTGTTATTATTTTTTTCATCCTACTTCAAATTGCAGCATCTTCTCTGAGCAGGGCTTGTAATGTAGAGTTCTTGGTCAGAGTTCTCTGGGCCTGGGTGGTATTAAAGACAGGCACCTCATATTCATTTGAAACGTCTCTAGACCTCAAGTATATTAGCTCTAATTAATGCTGACAGTTGGGCTGCTACAACACCCTCCTCTTGCCTCTCCCTCTGAAGACATGAGAGATTTTAGTTAGAATGAAAAGGATATATTCACATATCCTTGCCAAAGAGCCAAGTTGCTAAGGAACAGGTAAATGATTTTTCAAAAATATATTTGAAAAACTAAAGAAAACGCCCTCAAATTAATTGAATGTCCTATTTTTCAAGCTCAAATATGAAAATTAGGAATAATCAAAGTAAAATAAACAAAAATTGGAGGTTGTAGATTATAAGATTTTTCTAGTGCAGATAGATATTCTTAATCCTTTTTACCTCCTTGAAATAACTGTGTTTACTTCCTAATAAACTTTTGCAATTAATACATTACTATAGTTTGAGTGTATTCTCTAATATGAAGGTAAGACAGTGTTATCTCAAACACTGTATGATTTATGACTTTAAATAAAGTTGGGATGTAAAAACCTGGTAACCCTCCTTTCACACCAAGCAAATTATAGATAATCATGAACAAAAAAATTAGATTATTCATTTATTACGTTTTTGTATTTGTGTAAAAGAATATATTTTAATCATTAATTTGCTTATTATTTTTCTCTTTTATTATTACTTGCAGAAAATTTGAGTGAGAGAGGAATCACTAGAATGGGAGCTGTAGATGTTGAGAGGATCTGAAAAGATGGAAGGAGGACATAGTTATAAGGAGAAAATCCCTTCTTCAAGGTGTTTAGAGAGACCAGGGTCCACTAGAGGGCAGAAGAAGACATAACGGTCATAAAAGGAGTTCCAAGAGGTACACGGGCAAGTAGGCAGAAAGTGAGGGAGGACAGAGAGAATGGACTTCTGGGGTGGAACAAAAGGCAAGAAATTGAGGAGCTGGACCTGGTCAACTCTTTGATATCTTAGAGAGGAAGCTATTAAGTGGCATCCTGCACAAAGCTTCACGAGGACTGCCAGGGCCCCGGGAACTTCCTGCCTCTTGGAAATATATATAGAAGGTTTAAATACAAGCACATTATTTTTTTTCCTATCCCTCTACAGTTCTGTAGACAGAGTACTGAGTGATCTTTAAAAAGGAAGTGAAATATTGAAGGGAAAAAACTACAAACAATAAAATGCATT